ACGAGCCGCGAGGCCGGAATCGCGCACATCAGGGACCAGATCTTGCCCCACCCGTGGCTCCGCGCCATCTGCCTAGCCGGAAAACCGATCGGGTCAATCTCCGTCACGCCCGTCGACAAAATCAGGTGGAAATTAGGGTACGTGATAGGGAGTGGGTATTGGGGAAGAGGGATAGCGACGGCGGCGGTGAGGCTGGTTGCGGCGGAGGTGTTTAGGGATATGCCGGCGATGGCGAGATTGGAGGCGTTGGTGGATTTGGAGAATATGGGTTCTCAGAGGGTTTTGGAGAAGGTGGGGTTTACGAGGGAAGGTGTTCTGAGGAAATTCATGCTTCATAAGGGATCTGTGAGGGATATGGTTATGTTCAGTTTGTTGCCTGATGATCCCTTGCTGTCGGATCGAATCGATTGAATTCGTATATATATATATACACACATACTCTGTGTGTGTGTGTGTGTGTGTGTGTGTGTGTTTGGTAAATGTGATGACGAAGATTTGCTCCCAACAGTTTGGAACAGAAAATCTGTGTCTTAATGATTTTGGTTTCTTGTGCATTTCTCGAAGATTTATATATTAGAGGGATATTGTGTAATGAGTGTGCTGTAGAATATCTTTTACTTCAGATAAATTATGGTAAAAAAAAGGGGGGGTTTAATTTGAATATATTGGGGGATCTGTGTAATGGGTTTACAAGATGTTCAATTATAACAATATTTAATTAGGAGTGTCAAATGGGCCTACTATCCGGCCCACGGATGATAAGATCTGTACCAACTAAATCTTAATATATACAATTGAGAAGGTTTATGAAAGTATATTTCTTTATGAACTTCACTAAAAGTTTTAGTGCGTAGATTGAAATTCGGGTTAATTAAAGTGGTATTATTGGTTATAATTAATACCACTCGAACACTTTATTAATTCGTTTTTATTAAACATAATTTTGATTACTTGGAATAAGTTTATACTATACGAAGAAAATAATCACTTGTTCAAGTCAATCCCAATAGTCGCAAATGTAGAAAAATTCATCGCAAATTAAGAAGCAATCAATAGCTCCAAGTAAGTAACCTACCTTCTTTCTTATAACTTGGACACGTGGCATCATTAGCATGCATTAGAAGTATATGTTTTAGTTCAACAAGTAACAAACTAAGCTCCGACATACTTGGTTTGGCAAAGATTTATACGAAACAAACATTTTTCAGTTGTCAAAGGTCAAATACAAAGGCATCCACTCACGCAATGACACGTCATCTCCCGCTAAGGTAGTTAAAGTAGTTGATCACCAATACCAACTTCGCCAATATTACATTTCGTACCCTTTTTCCCTCCATTGCTCCACCCATATATATACGCACACAACCGAAACAACATTTCCACAAAACCACAAAACCACAAAAATATATATATATTTCTCTAAACCCTAAACCCCAAATGGATATCAAGATTATACCGTTCCTTACCCTCATCTTCTTATCGATTTTGTATTTCCCGGTATCGGCTCAAATCAGTACTCCATGTTCGCCGACGATGCTCTCTACCGTCACACCGTGCTTGAATTTTCTCACCGGAAGTAGCGGAATCGGTACGTCTCCGACCGCGGATTGTTGCGGAGCACTTAGGACCTTAACCGGAATCGGTATGGACTGTTTGTGTCTGATCGTGACCGCAAGTGTTCCTTTTAGTGTCCCGGTTAACCGAACGGTTGCAATCTCTCTTCCTCGTGCTTGTAGCATGCCCGGTGTCCCTGTTAAATGCAATGGTACACTCCCACTTTGTTAATTATGTTATTTGTTTTTGTCATTATAGATGCATTAGGGTTTTAGAAAACATTTTCTCTATATAGTTACATTTTAATCTTGTTTCTAATCAATGTTATAACTTTGCAGCTTCCGCAGCACCGCTTCCAGCTCCCGGTATGACTTTGGCTTTGATTTCTCTTGTGTTTTGTTGTTATTTAAGCCGATTAAGGACTGAGATTATCGAAATCTAAACAAATATCGCCTCGAATGTTGTTTTATCACAGGCCCGGCTGCTCTCGGACCGAAAATTTCTCCAACTCCTCCAGAAGGTAAATTTCGCTATAACACAAAGAAATCTTACCATTTATTTTTCTTTTTATCGGTTTGAAACCTGTATAAATATTTAAAATTTTATCGACCAGCTCCACGGCGGAAGCCGCACGGCCCTTACGCCTCCTTCTGCCGCGTCTCCGCCGCCTTTGAACCCTATGAAGCTGTCCCTCTTGCTCTTCGCTTTGGGCTTTGGAGTTCTCAAGTGCTTCTGAGGAATCGCATCGATCTCTATCTTATATTTGCGACAATATTCAAAAACTGAAGTATTCATTTATTTTGGTGAAGACGTATTTGTTATTGCTGAATAATAATAATGTGTCCAGATTCATGTGTAGATATGTTTGGATCCTAATCATGAATATCATTTTCTGTTATTCGGTATTCCAACGTGCAAAGAAATGTAAAGTGAAAATATCGTCGGTTAACTATATGAGACATAACAATTAAACCCATATTTGTAGAAGTTAACTGAAAATATCATTGATTACATAATTTAAACAGAAGGTTATGTATTCGTGCCTGCTTATGTTTAGTTTTAGGTTTTCTGTTGTGTTCTCGAACCATTTTAGGGCAAAGGAAAATATTCGGATTTTTTTTATCAAGAAAAAATTTTCGGATTTTCTTATTAATAAGAATTATATAAATAGTGTGTATTCTTTTTGTTCATGTATTCATTTCATTTAACGAAGTTCAACACATATAATTAAGTGAATTACATCAATATGCATATCAATGAATCCGATTACGTATCGCATGCACGCATACATGCACACGTTTGATGCCATTGAATGGTAACGATTTCACGAAACATTTTATATTCCGACGTGGAAATGCGAATTCCGTTAGAGTAAAAGCGAAGTAAATGCACACGAAAGAAGGGAAAATTAAACGCAAAGTGACAAAAGACTATATATGACGCTCAAGAAGAGACATATAACAAGGCCGAAAGCCCAATTTCTACGTGACTATAAAATCAAAATGGACCGGTGGTGGTGGTCCTCATTCATTTATGAGTTCGCTTTCGTTTGTACATACGTACGTAACGTATATGTGCATGCATGCGGGTACGAGAAGAAACGAACGCCAAGAACATAACTGAGATTGATCCAAATCCCACGACAAGAAACGCAGAATGAGAGGAAACAATATAAAGAAAACTTGTCTATTTATGCATGGATTTGCGTGTTGATGAAAAAAGTTAATCCGGTAATTTCGTAAGGCTGTAAGAAAAAGCTCGTGTATATAGAAAAACATAAAGAAAATTAAATTATTTTCTTTATATTTTGAAGAGTCAATCTGTTCTTTGAATATAGCATTTGATTGATTAAATGCGGTCAAACTAAACGGGTGACCAACCCATATTGGGTATTACTTACATATGTGGATATCATTGAAGATTGAAATTGCTTGTACGGAAATTTTAGAATTGAAAACCGTACGAAGAGGTTATTGCAATTTATTCTGTAAAAACATTAAATATGTACGGAAATAAGCAATTGTATTATGGGAATAAATTACAAGAATATATATATATATATATATATATACACACACGCGCGTTCGAATTTTAGTTAGAACGTTAATTACAAATGTTTGTAATATGATTCTTATATATATAGAGAGAGAGAGAGAATTGGAAGAGTGTACTTTTATAGATTCTTATTATAATGACTAAAACGATCACACTTAGTCCCAAGAATGAACCGATTTATCCATGTTTGGGTGGTCAAGTGGTGAGAGAACATGCAAAGTATGCTCTCATCCTGGACCCAAACATGGAGAAGGACATTCACCTGGGTTTCTCCGATCCTTTGGGAGATTTAGTCGGATCAAAGATCCGGTTAACTTCCATATTTTTTTTTAAAAAAAAGAATGGACCGATTTATAAGAACCATGATAATACGGGCCATGCATTAAAAACGCACAACCACCCTGGCTTCATGTATTGGTAGAAATTTCAAAGCTACAAAATCGTTGACTCGATTTTAATGTTGAATTATAAAACGTGTTACGAATTGGTGTGTGTGTTTATATATATATAGCTCGGACTCCACCACGTAATGTTGAAATAGAAACAAAATATGGAGATTTGATATGATTGATAACAATTAAAGGCATAATATCGATTAAGAATAAAATATATATCGTGATAATTATATTTTGCTTTATTTGTTTCTTTCGTATCTTTATTTCCTTGTTTCTTTCAATAATTTTTCCTATAAATGTATGGATTATTTTCATTGTAATGTAACAAGAAGAAGAGATGTAGCAATAAAAGTGTTTCCGTTCTTTTATATTTTGTTCTTTCTTTCTAATTTAATTTCCGCATTTTATTTTTTAATATGGTATCAGAGCAGCGTTGCGATCTGAACTATATGTTTCTCTTTTTTTAATTTTCTAATCTCTTCTTTCTTTTGCGTTTTGGATGTTCATATATCCAAATTGTTCAAAGGAAGAGTAAAAAAACCAGATTCAAACGATGTGCTATGACAAAAAGAAGTCAAAGCTAAAAACTCTAAGATCAAGCAAGATGCTATGACAAAAAGAGTTAAAGCTAGAACTTTAAAGTCAAGCGAAGTGATTTGAAAGAGGTTAATACTCTCTAAATGAATGAAATTTGGTTTCTATGGATTGTTCTAATAACAGTGAAGTTTTTCATCATTTTGTTGTATCTTCAAGATTGATTTTTGAATTCTTTCAAAATCAATCTTGAGGGGAATGTTGAAATAGAAACAAAATATGGAGATTTGATATGATTGATAACAATTAAAGGCATAATATCGATTAAGAATAAAATATATATCGTGATAATTATATTTTGCCTTATTTGTTTCTTTCGTATCTTTATTTCCTTGTTTCTTTCAATAATTTTTCCTATAAATGTATGGATTATTTTCATTGTAATGTAACAAGAAGAAGAGATGTAGCAATAAAAGTGTTTCCGTTCTTTTATCTTTTGTTCTTTCTTTCTAATTTAATTTCCGCATTTTATTTTTTAATATGGTATCAGAGCAGCGTTGCGATCTGAACTATATGTTTCTCTTTTTCTAATTTTCTTGCACTCTAAACATGTTTCGACGCACTCTAAATATGTTTCGACGAATTCTAAACATCTTTTGATGCACTCTAAGTCTGTTTGGATGCACTCTAAACATGTTTCGACGTACTCTAAAAATGTTTGGATGCTCTCTAAACATGTTTGGATGCACTATAAGTATGTTTTGACGCATTCTAAACATGTTTTGATGCACTCAAAATGTATTTGGATGCACTCTAAACGTGTTTTGTGTTGAAATAGAAACAAAATATGGAGATTTGATATGATTGATAACAATTAAAGGCATAATATCGATTAAGAATAAAATATATATCGTGATAATTATATTTTGCTTTATTTGTTTCTTTCGTATCTTTATTTCCTTGTTTCTTTCAATAATTTTTCCTATAAATGTATGGATTATTTTCATTGTAATGTAACAAGAAGAAGAGATGTAGCAATAAAAGTGTTTCCGTTCTTTTATATTTTGTTCTTTCTTTCTAATTTAATTTCCGCATTTTATTTTTTAATAGAAATGTAGTTAAATTTCTATTCTGATGGACCGATTTTATGTACGAAGTCAATTTCATATATAGAGCTAAGAGATGAGAAGAAGATTTTATAAACTTACCGTGATATATATTATATAATATTTAGATCTGATATTATAAATATTTTTTTGGAATCTTTGTAACAATACCTTGAAAATGTTGCACCAAAATACAAAAAAAAAAGTTGTATGCAATAGAAACAAAAATAATTTTGTAGCTTAACAAAAGCCTATCAATTTCATGCAGCCTTGTTTTAACTTTTTATTTTAAAATTCAATTTTGACTTTACATATAATTCCGTTTAGGAAAAAAAAACACAAGATATTTTCTTATCTATAAAACTTGTGCCAAAGTGATTAGAGATTTTTTAACAGCTTTAGATTAAAAAAACATATCATTTTAACTAAAATGTTTATTGAAAAGATCATAATTTATCTGCTTATTAGTCATTGGAAAACAAATTATTTTACTGTAATTATTTCAATACACATCTAGACAGTCACTTTTTTTTATTTCTAATCATTTTCAATGTTTTTCAGAATACAAGCTTAAAAATAAAAAAAGGAATATCTATGATCATTGTCTCTGCAATTAATCATGGCCTTCACATTTCACAAGTTTTTTTTCTTTAATTATATAAGGAAAAAAAAAGAAAAGCTGATAGAAGACAAAGCATGATATGAGGAATCAGGAAAAGACAAAGCATGAGATTCTACAAAAACCGCAGCACTTTGCTTCTACAATTACCTGTCGAGACTCTGTCTCATCTCTTAATCATTACTTAAACTCTTTATTCTATTCCCGCAAATATTAGTAATTGAATATTATACACATTTGAACATATTTTTTTTATTTTAAAATTTTGCTTCATGCCCAATTTCTATTATTGTTAATTTTTTAAATTTTACTCGAAAAATTAATGGTTTGGATAATTTATAGTTTTCGATAATTGATTTAGAAAATACTTTACATTTTTTTTCTTCTGTTTACTGGTAATAATCATTAAAATATTTTTTTGTATATTTTTTTTTTCAAGTAAGCCGTATCATAAACATTACAATATGATTAACCCCATTGCACACTTTAATCGGAGAAAAAGGGGGGAAATCCCCTATGGTAATAAAAGAATGATGAATGAAGGAACTTCCATCTGTCCACTTGGCAATTTCTGATTGGGTCAGTTCATATTCTGCATATAAGAAAAAGATAATTGTTATAAGCTTCAGTTATAATACAATTATTGGAATTTTTGGCTCTTTTTTAAGCAATTAATTCTAATAGAGAGTAATATAAATATAAAAAATGGAGACAAAAATCAAAGTCAAATGATATTTAAAAAGAAAAAGTAATACGTACCTAATTATGATGCTGTAAATATAATGAAGTTCGCCGGAGTTAGCAAAACGGTGAACCGGGTCGACGCCGGAACCGCCGGTACGGGAAATCGGTTAAGCAATACAAAATTACAAAACTCTTCACACCTGCAAACCGGGAATAACTGGGTAAGATCTCTCGGTCAAATCATTCATATGGAAGAATCTATTCTGGGTTCGTCAAAGTTTTCATCTTTTCGAACAAACACAGAGAAAGAATCGTGGGTTTGCAATCCTTTTCTTCTGGGTTCAACAAAGTTTGCACCTTTACAAAATTACACAAAAAGAGAAAGACATGCAGATAATGAACTAGGGTTTACAATTACAAGCTAATGGCTTTGCGGTAGTTTCCCCCCATTCAATCAGTGGATTGTGAGTCGTGACAGAAACCAACACTAATTAATTATACGCAGAGAGTCTAGACAACGTTCAGGAAACAACGTTTCCATGTCCCCATCCAAACATATAATTGCAAATCGAACAGAACACGCAAAGACATCCAAATCGGTTCATGCCATTAAATGCAGATGGGTATGTCTGTTCATGATGTTCCCCATTTGAGTTCTCAGGACCACAAAAGATTTGTGGACTTCAATGGGTCTGACAGCTCATGTCACTGAAACTAAATACTCTATATCCATTAATTCAAGTTTCAGGTGTGAATCTCTAGTTTAGCATACCCTATTTGCAATGCAATGACATATAACAGTTTGGAGAGAAAGAAAGAAATGTTACCGTTGGGATTAGAGGACGAATTATACATCTCGTTTCTAGAAAAAGTTGAGCTCGGTATACCCGGGGGAGTAGGGTAAGAGCTCCTCGGCTTGGACCCGCGAGGTAGAATAGCTCGTGGTTCGCTTCAACCTGTTGTGAGCCGACTCAACCTCCACGCAGAAAATGCCATACACCGGTCTATGATCCGAGAACCGTGACTCCCCTCTCACGTACGATAACTGATGCAATCCTTCTCCGTACCACAATATCCTATCACACCTTCAAAACGTGAAATTTGTTAAAACCCGAATCAGAGAATGGTTTGGTCAAGATGCCTCTAATAGGGATCATGATAAAAACTTTCGGAAAAGAGTTTTACGTAGCGTTTTTCTTGCGAAAGTATCGATTTTGCAAAACAAAAAAGGTTTTCACTTAGAAATTTACCAAGCAGGAGTGCGTCGTTTCTCCTTTGGATGCATATCGTCTCCTGCATATCTATCAGAGTTAGTCGAGTATTTGTATGTCGGGGGGAAGTATATCTTCCCTTCGCTCCATCCCTTAAAGACTCGGCCTCGTTTCTGCTCTATCCGCAGCTGCGACAAAATGTTACATCTTTGGCATAAGAACTGCCCTTTACCTCCAAATAGATATTATCATATATGTGCATCTATGAGCATACCTGATCGTTTTCCAGTAAAGCCCTCCAATTTTGCATCTCTACAAGTGCTTTGGCAGACCGGTACGAGAGGGCAATCCGATAATTCAAATCCCCAAGCCAAATTATCCGACTAAATCAGATGGAAAAAACAGAGGAAGTAATAAGCTTTCATGCAAGTAAGAACATTGGTCATGACTCGGTATACAAGTGAGTCTTTGACGAGTTAAAACCAATGTTATGTGAAGGAAAGGGTCATCTTACTCATGCTGAAGGATGGTCTCGGGGGAATTCTCGTCATCTGAACTCTGAACCCGTGGAAACCTCGTTTTCTTGAGTATCTCCATGACATCCGAGTTTCTCTTTAGCTCATCGCCTTCTTTCTGTCCCGATGTCAAGTGGCTACAGATGAAGCAAAAGCTCGTTTGGTGCAGTAACATGCTAATGGAGATCGATCCCTACAGAAACCACGAGCCAAGGCATTTTAACAAAAAGCATATATATACATATATATGTGCTAACTCTTACAAACTACATGGTGATGTGAAGAACAAATATGTCTATGTACCTTATTCCCAAGATAACCCATCAATCCTCTGCCAACAGACGACACTTTCATGTTTTTGACGTGCTCTCTCAGCTCGCTTTTCACCCAGACTGTCAGGAAAATACCCACCATTTGCTTGCTCGCCACTAAACAATACTGCGATGAATTCCACGGGATTCTGCAGCCATTATCGTTCGATGCAGATCCATCTTCGGGCCCTGGTGAGTGCAAGACAGTGCTTGGGGAATCCCCGGGACCGTTGTCATCGTCTGAAGATCCGCACCGGGAATAATCACTGGCCCGAGAATAATCACTCGGTCTAGAGTAATAGTCGCTCGGTCTAGAGTAATCGCTAGGTCTATGACCACTACTACTACCACCACCACCATTCCACCTGAAACTAGGGTCGAAGTCACTCGGCCTGTGACTGAAGAACACGCGGTCACAAACACTGAACCGGCGGTCAAGCCGTGGCTGTGGAACAGAAGGGTCATTCTCCATTCTCCATATGCTCGGGGTCTGGAAAGATCGCCGGTGAAAGAAAGCTGAGTTCTTTTGCCTCGACGAACCAGAGAAGTCAGCATCTATCTCTGCAATGGGCACGGGAATAGGGGACGGGGTATGGCAAACGCTGCTTCCGCTAGTCCCTGAGCGGTTATTGAGCGTTTTCCTGATAAGGGAAAGCCATTTCTTGGCAGGGCCGTTGTCTTCAGCTCCAAGAACGTTTCCAGCGTTAAGAGGAACGATTTCTTGAAATCTGAAAGGAAAAAAAAATAACCAGCACTAAGAGGATTGAAATGGCCATATAAACGAAATTTTTATGAGAGATCTAGAGAGCTTTTTTTTAATACCCGAGTACGTATATATCTGCAGGGGCTGATGAAAGAAGCCAGTCGTCGAGGTTCAGGTCTGCAGGAGGGGAGCGTCCAGCTACGTTCCATGTAGCTACGAAGATGCTGTTCATGATTCACAGCAATGGATCACTATACATATACACAATTATACGTATATTTGTGTGTTTCATATATATATATAGTCATATGCTTTACCTGTAGTTCTGTACATCGATGATCCTGGGATTTTCATAGTTCATTCTCCTCTGCCGAGCCTGCTGCTCCCAGTTCTTGCTGAATTTCTCTGAGAAACCAAACACGAGGAAGAAGGAAAAAAAACATCAGCTCTGCAGATACATGTATTGTGTAACATGTATGTATTTATGAATGTGTGAATGGGTCAGTGTATGTATAGTTGTAAATTCACCAGTTTTGTTCTTCTTGATTGTGCAGGGCTCCCTCGCTGAGAAGCTACTCCCGTACTCCACCTCAACTCCTATACAAATATCAACCCATAAACAGGGGGAAGTATATATGAAATGTCGTTTTCCTTATCCTTCAAATTTCACCGAAGGGGAAGGAATTTGATGAGAATTTCGGTCAAAGCAGAGAAATCAGACATGGTTTTGAGTTGGAAGAGACAAAAGAAAGAAAAAACTAAGAGCAAGAAAAAACAAGAACGGGTAAACAAATGCTAAAGGTAGATACTTTACCCCTAGAAACAGGTTTATCCGCTTGAAACTCCTCGTTTTTGCTTCTGATATTGAACCATTTCCTAATCATTTTCTTGGACCAGGAAATCTTCATTGCAGAAAGGAGAGAAAGAGAAGAGATTTAAGAATATTCCACCGGAAATTCATCGAGGTGAAAATGGAAATCATAGAATTAGAGAAAAGGAAAAGAACAGACCTTGCTTTTCTTGGTGTTATCGTCTCTCATTGTCGCTGGTTATTTGCTTCTCCACTGGTTCTCGTTCTGTTTAGAATCGCCGAACAAAGATTCGATCCATTCGAGAACGAAGAAGGGCAACAAACCCTAATTCCCCAAAAGACAATAGAGATCAAACCGAACTGTCAAAGCAAATTGGGTGTGTGTTTGTGTTTGCGAATCCTCTTGAACCCTCTTGCCAAAATGATGAAAGTTTCCAACTTTACAACCAAAAATGGCTTCTGTTTCCCCACTGGACCAGACACAGACCAAAACCAAGCAGGCCAAAAATCTGGGTTGGTCGCTCTTTTCCTTCTCTCTCAACAAAAATATGAAAACTTAGGGAACGGGTTTTGTTTCTCAGGCCTCCTCTCTTACAGGGATAAAGCAAACACCAAACGATGGCTTAATACTCGATTATAGAATGAGAAGAAAAGGAAAGACGGAGAGAGAGAAAGAGAGTGCAGGTTAAAAATAAGCAAATGTGGGTTCTTGAAGTAGACACAGACAGACAATGAGGCAGATTTGAGAGAGAGAGAGAGAGAGAGAGAGCAAAAGTAAATAGTTAGAGAGAGATAGAGTGGGGGTCCTTTGAGCTACTTCTCCTTCCTCGGCGAGGGAGAGAGAGAGAGAGAGAGAGCCTCGTTCTCAGTGAAACGGCAAAGTAAAAGAAGCGGATTTGAACAGAATAAAGCGCAGAAGAAAGAGAGGAGAGAAGAGAACAGCACCTTAGACTAAATCAGTCTTTGTTGGGTTCTTCCTTTTCTTTTTTACCCTTTATTTTTATTTTATTTTAATTTCGCAAGTTTGCATACAAGAGGCGCTGTTGGACCATTCATATCATTTACCATAATAATTTTTAGAAAAAAAAAATACAGAAAAAGTTTCACGAGATTTCATTGTCCGAGTACCCAAATATGCTTAGGATCTATGGAAAACGATGCCGTTTTGTAATTTGACCAAAAAAAATAAATATAATAATAAAAAAAGGATATGTAGAAATAAGGAATTAAATTGATGTGATATAAATGACAGAATCTGAATTTAATCGGCTGATTTTGAAATATTGCCTATTTATTTTTTTTACCCAACATACTATTCTTTAATTTCCTAAAATTTAGCCTATATGGAAATACATTATATCGAATCTTTTTAGGATTATAATTATCTAAATATACGATATTTATTTCGTTTTTTTAAAATGGACTAGACTGGTTTCCGGTCTACCAAACAAAGGCAAAAAGCAATATATATAATATACAGATATATATATATATATATATATATATATGTATGTATATAATAAAGAAATAGATAAAGGGAAGTGAGTATTGTTGGAGTGCCGTATCATCTCTCCCTTTCAATTTGTTCTTTTCGCTTTATTGTTTATTTTCTAATTTTTATTTTTAATCTTCTCGATTTTTTTAAACTGTTAATATATATTCTTTTCGTGAATTACAAACGTTCTGGCACAAGACAGTATTAACAGTTTTTAAAATTGATATACCGTAGTGATACTATATTTTCATGGTTAATATTTTATCAAATTATGAGATAATTATTTTTACTATCCCTTAGTAATTGAAAAGGAGTTTATATATATATATATCGTTATTTTTTTAGTATAATTTTAAACATAAGAAAAATTTAATTAATTAATTACTACAGTAATACATAAATTTTAACGTTATATAAATATTTTAGATTTTGAGATACAAAAGAGTAAAATAACCTCACATATTGCTCATCTTGATTGATGACGATGATGGTGACAAACAATGTTAACATCGATTCTACATTAGTGATATTTTCGGTGTCCTGTATAACGTTATCCAATGGCACACAATAATGATATTCTACATGAAATAATTTTTTTTTATATTAAAAATGTAATAAAGTGTTTTAGCAATATATACTACCAATAAATTATCCGACGCCATTTTATGAATATGTTTATTCGAAAGCATGAAGCGATGTATACCTTATTATGTTCCATTAAAAGTTGATAAGAAATGACAATATATATATATATTTTTTTAATAAGACGGTAATCAACCTTGTAACACATAAAGTAATGAAGATAGGTCCATTAAAAAATGTGGTAGGGTAGGGAAGGGGAGGAGGCTTTTGATTCACATCTATTGGGTTAAGCAAATATATATCTATATATATATATATATATAAGGGGACAACTCTAGGATTGCATGGCTAAGATGTTTATAAAGCAACCCCCACGAAGATTTTGCTTTGCTTTTTTCCTTTATAATAATAATAATAATAATAATAACGAGGCATAATCTCTTTTCCTCCTCATTCCCACAACCATGAACCACATCCCTTTTGCTTGTGAATCCAAAGATTTATCCTCTCATTCCTTAAAATTCAAGATTTCCTATGCAGTCAAAAGCTACCACGATTCATCTCATATTATTATTGTTATTTATTCACGCATATATATATATATATATATACACAATGAAATTTGTATCCATTCATATATCCTGCCTCTCTTTTTGTTCTCTCCCTAGACTACGAGATCCCACTATCTTCTTTTGTAGCTTTAATGAAGATTCGATTATTTCTTTCTATTTTAAGGCCCTATGTAATGCCCGTTTGTGTAGGGACTTTGGTGCGGTGATATACATATAGGGTCTCATAATTTTGAACCAAACACTTTTATTGATGAGTACACATATATGTAGTCGTTATATTAACTAATTCATATTTGTAAATTTACTGTATTATTAAAGTGATCAAACACCAGTATAATATATGGTAAAGATAAAATAATAGGTGGCGAACAACGAATTGAATGTGGGCTCTTTTTGGGCTCAAAATAAAATAATGAGAAAAGCTAGAAAGCCCAAACAGAACACAGAAAATTTAAAGCCCCATTACCTGACAAACCCATCTCCCATTGCAAACTCTCTGTCTATATTTTTTTTTGGACAAAAAAACTCTCTATCTATGATTTGTTTTTATTTTTTTTATATAATAGACCAAAGCGATTATGTTATATGAAAACTATTGTGTTTTCAAAATAAAATTCATTGATGAAATACCTTTAGGAATAGTTTGCAGAATGTATAAAAGGATTTTAGAAAATATTCATTCCGTTTCAAAATAATTATTGTTTTAAGTTATTCATATTTTTTTTTAAAAAGATAGAAAAAATCATATATACTTTTATTTAATGATAAAAACAATGTTACCATTAATAATTTACTAGAAATTAATAAGATAAAATTGGGACTATTGTAAAAAAAAATTTTGAAATATATAAAATAATGTAAAAATACCAATATTTTGAAATTGAGGGAGTACATACCGGGAAAGTCAAAGGTAAACTTGGAGATCCAAAGATTGAACTTCTCTGGATTCGAGTCAAATCGTTTTGAATTGAATGTTTGGAATTTATTAAGTATCATAATTTAAATATTAAAAAATATATTCGAATAATTACATTTATAAACTATTCAAATATTCAGATCTTTAAATTTTTATTTCAAATAAACAAAATATCATTTCTTTACAAATATTTGAATATTGATGGATATTTGAATTTAAACCCAAATTGAAATTCGAAAGTCATATTTTAATATTTGACATTGTTTGTAAAAATCGAAGTCGAATAATCGCCAGTACTTTCGACCATTCCTTGTAATTGCCACGTAGTTGAAGCATGCGGAGAGCCGATGGACACGTGCCAAACGTTTGGACACGTGTCAACTCAACAACAAACTCACGTACAACTTACAAGACAAATTCAATAAAAAAAAACGAGACCATATAAAATTATTAAGGAGGCCCATAACTTTTTTTTCACCCTCAGATCCGTAACAAAAATCCATTTTAAAAAAAATTATTGGGATTTCTATATCAAAATGCAAACCCATTATAAACTACAATGATGGGAAAAAAAATCCGTGTTATAGCATAAGAATATTGTATAAATATGTGTATATATAAATATGTGTGTATATATAGACGATGGGGCCATACATACATACATACAATGCATGAAAAACAAGACGTGGAAGATGACTGATAGCTTAAAAGACGCGGAATTTCGAAGGTGTCGATGGCATGGGACCCACTTACGTCTCCTCAACACCACTCTCTCGCATCCTATAAAACTATGCTTCTTCGAACAGAACACGATGACAAGACAAAGAAACTCAAAAGATCTACATATTTACATACATATTATATATAACTCTCTTGCCCTTTAATTTGTTGTTTTTCCTTTTCCATAAACGTAGAACAGGGAATCAGTGCGAGGCAAGAACGGAATCGATCGGTGATAAAAATAACAAGCAATCAACAACTGATTTTGATCAGCAGAGAGATTGGAAATGGCGGCTGCGAGAATTACGAGGCTGTCTTTGGGGTTGCTGACGATGGTAGTGTTGGCATCTGTCTCGGTCCGACCGTCGTACGGCCTACGGAAGTTGGTCGGTGGGAAGTCGGATGTTCCTGACGTCGAATCCAACAAAGAACTCCAAGAACTCGGCAGGTACACATACATATATATACATAATACATGCATACATATACATATAGATACACACGCTGAACCGGGATGGAAGTAATATAAAATTGAACATTGTTCGGCCAACCCCTTTCTCCGGTGGAACAAAAACAGAGGATCTTTGTGTCTAGTCTGCGCCACCGAATGCCATTTTCATAGCATATATATATATATATATATATATGGTTAGATTCTTACAAGAAGTGTAATGTAAACAATTGACAGATACTGTGTAGAGGAATTCAATCTGAAAGAAGGAAGACGAGAGAAAGGGTCGGGTGAGGAAGAAGAAGAAGTGTTGGGACCGTTGGTGTTCAGTAGGGTGGTGGAGGCTCAGAGACAGGTAGTTTCAGGGATCAAGTACTTTCTGAAGATCGAAGTCACGTTGCCCGACCGTACAACCAGAATGTTCAGCTCCGTTGTCGTCGTCAAACCATGGCTTCCGTCGAGGGAACTGCTCGATTTCTCCCCGCTCACGAACCCCATCTTCTTGGTTTCTTGATGGAAGTGTTCCCTTCGGTCAAACTGAAAATGGAGATATTGTAAATGTTGTTGTGATTCATATAATAAATAAGCGATGAGAGCTTTGAACAAGCAAATGATCAAGCCGATGGTAACATGACACTCATCTAACTCAGATTATCAAAGTGAAAAGAGCCGGTACCGATCAAGATTTGACTTTAAGATCTCTCGTGAAAACAGACGAGTAAAGAAGGAGAAGACAAGAAACGCTATTACAACACCTTCAAGAACAAGAACACGGATCTGTCTTTGATTTAAGGAAAAAAAACCCAATTAATGGCCAAACATTTTTTTTTTTAATTTCACGATCCACATTCAAAACACTTCTTGGGAAATGTTTTCTGTTATTGATAATGGGAAGAATACATCATAATATATAGCAAAATACAATAGAATATTCTAGGCATAATATCTAGGGTAAATCATAACAATATTAATGATAATATTATAAGAATAATATCTTTCTATATGCCCCCTCAAGATGAATCATCTATGATGAATTCAATCTTGTTACATAAAAACTAAAAACTGAAATTGTGATCGTATTAAACGAATCATTTTCCATGTGGTGGTGTAGTCCAGACTTGAGTTGGTGTTGCTTGATAACGTTTGAAGAGCTTGAGAGTTGTATTCTCAGAGGCTGATGTGGCACGGATGTGCGGCGCATATGCGCGAGTTGGGTTGCGCGACAATGAGGTCGGCAGCGCAAAAAAAATTGCGATGTGTATAGCGGCTAGGCTGGAGAAAAGAAAAAAAAATGGGCGCAAAAGCGTGACGCATAATGCGTGGTAGTCTAGCAGCGGAATAAGAGAAGAAAATAAAAATAAGTGACGCAAATACGTGGATCGACGATCAGAGTTTTCCAATCGAAAGAGGCTAATAACCATGTTTAAAGAGCTTACAACGGCTAGGGTTGACGTCGATAAACAAACATCATCGTTAAAAAAAAAATCGGCTAGGGTTGACGGTGATGAACACCGCCGTCGGGGAAAAAAATAGAAGAAAAAAAAGAGCAAAATAAATTTAAAACGATACTCAAGACGATGATACTATTGGATTTAGTACATCGTTGTCATCTTCATCGTCGCTTTCGGATTCGACCGACATTGTTGATAAGAAGAAGAAAAAAAAAATTAGAGCAAAAACCGAAGCTCTGATACCATAATAGAGAAAGAGATGGAGAATCATTGGATTTCTCATTATTCAACATGTAACATTACAATATTTATAGCAGAAACAAAATCATAAAATATCTTATTTAATAAATATAAATATCTAAAATATAGAAATAAAATCAAATCTAAATATTACGTAATCTTCTCAAATCTTATTCATATCTCTTTACACGCCCCTCAAACTCAAGGAGATGAGAAACAGCTGCTTGAGGTTGAATTCTCCAGAAAATAACGGGATTTGACAATCGAATCTAGGAATCGGTGGATTGTTGGCGGATCTGAAAAAGTCCGGTGAAACAGAAGCGTGGTGCACATGCACGGTATTGTGGAGTTGTGCGACAGCAATGTCGGCAGCGCAAAAGGCGTGATGGTTTAGCGGCTATGCCGGAAAAAGAAAATAAATGGTGCAAATGCACGCGGCTAAAGCCGAAAAAAAAAGAAGATGGCGAATCATTGGATTTCTCATTATTCAACATGTAACATTACAATATTTATAGCAGAAACAAAATCATAAAATATCTTATTTAATAAATATAAATATCTAAAATATAGAAATAAAATCAAATCTAAATATTACGTAATCTTCTCAAATCTTATTCATATCTCTTTACACGCTTTTATACTTACGTGTGCAAAATTCGGTTGACCAATTCTTCTCCGCTCCACTCGAATTCATCCAACTGTTTTCTGTCCAAATATAGTTATTTGATATCTCGTCACACTTCCAGAGATACCATAAGAAGATATTTGCATAGGCGGTTCATTCATGTAAAGGGTAAATTGGGCATTGATATTTTCTCTTTGCGGTGAACCAACGCAATGATCACGTGTCTAAATTGAACATTGTTCGGCCAACCCCTTTCTCCGGTGGAACAAAAACAGAGGATCTTTGTGTCTAGTCTGAAAACAGAGGATCTTTGTTTTTAGCTGGCCCCCCCGAATGCCATTTTCATAGCAAATCTCGCAAAAAAAAAAAAAAAAAAAAACCTTCTTTCTGTAAAACCCACAGATTTGTTTAGCATTCTGTCCTCCTGGGGGCTCCCTGCGTCGATGAAAGGTCGCTCCTTTTCCTCCTCGAATTTTGTCGTTTTTCTTCTTTTTTTTCCGCCTTTTTCTGATTTTATTTGTTTGTGACAAAAGGCGATTGGTTCGTTGTCAGATTCGGTAAAATAAACTTGGTAGACATTCTGATTTGATCATTCGCTGCAGTGTCGAATATGAGGAGGTGTGTCTCCAAGTTCACCGCCGATTGGCACATGTGTTTCAGGAACTTGAACTTTTTCTTGGTAAAGTTTCAAGCTTTTCCTCTTCAAATTTCTGGGTTCTCTTCTTCTTTTGTTTTTGGGGTAATTGGATTCCTTTCTATTTCGTTGCTGAATTTGCCGAAGTTCCTTTTGTTACATGATCCTGAATGGTTTCGTCTATTGGGTCTCAATTTTTCTATTCAATTCGGCGGCTTGTTTGATTGATTCGTTCCTGAAGGTAAACTTTTAGGTATTCTGTGATTCGAGTTAGATTGAGAAATTCGTAGGTAGAAGAAGCTTGTTTGGATAGTGACAAAGCTTGAGAAAACGTTTGCCAGATTTTTCTTTAGGTCCATGTTATGTGGGTTTATCACCAATGAGTCGTGTAAACACACACATTCACCAGTTGCCTCATCTAATTTTGCCTCTCAGCTCTAGTGAAGTGATGAGATTTGGCTGAAGAATTTAGGAATGTTAATCTGTACTCAAGTTTTTATTTCAGTACGCCTAAATTGGGTTCTTGGAGACAGTTGCTACTTGCTGGAAACTATGGTTTTAATTCTGCATCCTTCCATCTTGGGATTCTCCTACAGGTTGGTTTTGTTGGGTCAAGTTCAGTTTCAAGAAACTTCGTAGCTGAACGTTCATTTAGCAGTCATGCAGCCCCAAAGACGTATGCCAGTTCTTCTGCAAAGTTGGCTGATGATCAGACAACAGACAACAGTGTGTCTGACATGTTGGTTGATTCGTTTGGTCGGTTACACACCTACCTGAGGATATCTTTGACGGAGCGATGTAATCTCCGGTGCCAATATTGTATGCCATCCGAGGGTGTGGAACTCACTCCGAGCCCTCAATTGTTGTCCCGGTCTGAGATTATCCGTTTGGGTAACCTTTTCGTTTCTTCCGGGGTTAACAAGATCCGCTTGACCGGCGGTGAGCCCACGATTAGGAAAGATATTGAAGACATATGTCTGCAGCTGTCCAGCTTAAAAGGGTTGAAGACACTGGCCATAACTACCAATGGGATCACTCTTGCCAGAAAGCTGCCAAAGCTGAAAGATTGCGGGCTCACTTCTTTAAATATCAGTTTGGATACCCTGGTTCCTGCCAAGTTTGAGTTTCTGACAAGACGTAAAGGGCTCGAGAGGGTTATGGAATCTATCGATGCTGCCATTGCTCTTGGATACAATCCCGTAAAAGTATCAGTCCTCCCCCTTCTTTCCATTTCCCGTTAGTTGCATCTTCTTGCTTTTTAGGTGTTGTAACAACATCAATTCTTGGGTTTGCATTTCTTGGTGGTCTTTAATTTGCATTTGCCTGCAAAGGAATGATTCTGTTGTCCAAATTTTGTGGTCCATTAGGTGAACTGTGTTGTCATGCGAGGGTTTAATGATGACGAGATTTGTGATTTTGTGGAGTTGACCCGCGAGAAGCCAATTAATGTCCGGTTCATCGAGTTCATGCCCTTTGATGGAAATGTTTGGAATGTCAAGAAACTCGTGCCGTATGCAGAAGTGATGGATAGAGTGGTAACGTAGAATCTTGCATGGGGGGGCTTGTTGAGATTTCGAGTTACCTCCTTCCAATTGCTTATGACTGATTCAATTGTGATGGGAAAACAGGTAAAGCGCTTTCCGGATATAAAGAGACTTCAAGATCATCCAACTGAAACAGCCAAGAACTTTAAGATAGACGGGCACTGTGGTTCTGTATCTTTCATCACATCAATGACCGAACACTTTTGTGCTGGTTGCAATAGATTGAGACTTCTTGCAGATGGGAACTTCAAAGTTTGTTTGTTTGGTCCCTCAGAGGTAAACCGCCATGTTTGCTTTCTTGTCTTTCTTTCGGTTTTCGTGCCGTTTTACTTTACTGTAACCTACTGATCTAGATTGCTTGTGAAGACTGATCTAAAAAATTACCAGTGTGCTTCTTTCTATCTGTGTGATAATGGACAATGTGCATTTGTTCTCACAGGTTAGTTTGAGAGATCCAATTCGATCTGGAGCTGACGATGAGGAACTTCGGGAAATCATAGGTGCTGCGGTATGTTTCTTTCTGTGGATCTTCCTCTCTTTCTTGAATGATATTATCTTTACCGAGAGATTGTAACTTAACTTGCGTGAAATACTTTGACAAGCTCAATAAGTGAAAATGGTTCAGGTGAAGAGGAAGAAAGCCGCTCATGCTGGAATGTTTGACATCGCCAAGACGGCGAATAGACCCATGATTCACATCGGTGGCTGAACAGCTAAAAGGTAAGTTCTTTAAAATGGTGGCTTATGATAAATCGAAATCATCATCTCCCGTAAAGATCACTAGTGTTAGGATCTGAGTACCGACCAAGTTTCTTAAGGTAGACTACTCACGCAAACCAGTAATGTGGAAATGGAAATTCCCCGGGTTTTCTTGTCGATTTTCATTCAACGATGCCCGTAAACAGAAACTTGCAGGAATCTTTTGCTCTTCCAACGTTAAGCTAGAAAAAACAAAAGAATTCAAAGTTGATTTCCTCGTCTCTGCAGACCAAACCCTCGTGAAGCTGCTGAAAATGGAGACATTCTACTATTATGTGTCGGAATAATATCTCCTGAATCTGTCTTGCAGGGGGTTTAAGCTCTTGGGAACAGCACGAAGAACATCGGGTTTTCCAAGATCTAGGCTCCGGCCGATGAGCTCTGCTCCGAATGGGAGAGTGTTCTGTTGCGTTCCACCGATCTGTACATGTGTTTTGTGTGCAGGATCTCAAAGTTCTTGATGTTAAGCCAAAACTTGTTCTTACCACATTTTGTACAAGAATATGAACAGACGAGTGTAAGGAGGCCAATAAGCATATATGCTTTCACAGCTTGACATGAACAATCCGATTGTCTCACCAATTTTTTTTTTTTTTAATTTATTTTGTTATTGTACAGTCAAAAGACAATCAATCTTAAACTAAAAACAGATCCAATCGGGACAAGAAAAACAAATGAAACAGATTTCTGAAAAGTGAAAACCTGTCTCAACCAAGAAGAGAAAAAAGAAGGGAGGGAGCTTAACAAGATGGTGGGGATGACAATGTTGACGGTTCATCTCGAGAACCCTTCGAAGAAGGAGAAGCCTCGCCGCCGGGAGGCATATCCTGAAGCGCCGCAAGAATCCGGCGAATGCTGACGGATCTCGCCGGCCGGAAACTGTACGGTCGCTTCATCTTCGTCTTCGAGAACAAGCTCGATGATTTGGACAGTATGAGATACACTAAAGCTTGAACCAAGGCGAACACTATCACCTTCATTACCATATCTCCCAAGCTGCTCTCCATATTCTCGTGTGATCGATTCGAGCAGATGAAATTCAGACAGCAACTAATCAAACGTTTGATGGGTTGTGAAAAAAAAAATGTCTTCTATTTTTTTTTTTTTGTAAAATGAATTAGAGATCGAAGCTAAAGTTGAATGTAGTTTTATATACGGAGGAGGAAAGAGCCTTGCGTATTTGACTCTACACGCAGAGACGTAGAAGAAAAAGAAACCGAGTTAGAAACTTCATTTAATCTTTTGGGGAGCCGTCATTGAAAAGTTCCAAGATTACTTATCTTATCTTGATCAAATTGACACGTCATCAATATCATGACAAGAATACAAATATATTTGTAATGTCGGTCAAACAAATATATTTGTAAATTGAATTGTAGAAGTCGTTATATGTGTGCATGTATCATCTAAATAAATTGTACACGTACACACACACACACACACACACACATATATATATATATATATATATATATCTCAAGATAGTTCATAGTTACAGATTCAAGGAAAGCCCACAAACCAAACCCCAGCCCAATATTAATCCATAAACTTACAAGCCCTAAAATAGTCTAAATAAAACCTATAAAAAAAATTTAAATTTGTAAAACGGTACAAAACAAGTTTTTAAATTTTTTATTTAATAAATTTATTTTCACACTTTCAAAATATATCATTATAATTTCCAAAATTAATAATATAAAAAAAATTAACGATATTGATTCAAAATTTATTTTGAAAATTATAATGACATTTTATAAATTGGAAAATAAATTTATTAAATGAAAAAGTAATTTTTTTTTATCATTTTACAATTTCAAATTTTTATAGTTTTTACTTTTAAAACATTAACAATATATTATATATATATATATAAGTGTAATTAAAAAGGCTACGCATATATTGTATAATTTCGTAGTCCGACCAGTCCACAAACACAACGTATTTTGGTCAGTTCATTTTGTAATGTTTGAAGTCGAAGACCATTTGAAGTTAGACTGACGTTGTCAGTTATCCACTCAAAGCATGACACGTGTCACAGGCATCCACCCAACAACTCGACGTGATATATCTCCTTTTTTTTTCTATCGCCAATTTTATTTTTCTTTACGTTTTTCAAATAACTAACTCAATATATATATATATATATATCATGTACCAAGAGTTGCATGTACAGAGACCTCACGTCACTTATTCTCAAAGCAATACCACCACCATATGCATGCACAGCAAAGTACGTATGCGTACGTAACTGACCGTATAGATATACGTATACGATTCACGATCAAAATGTTCGTGATTATATGTATACGTATTCACGTATACGATTCACGATCAAAACGTTCGTGATTACTCGGAATTATTTCAGCCGGAAGATTGGCTTTTTCTTGGAGGCGCTCAAACGACGAGTGTCGTGCTTAGCCTTTATCAAACCGCTCAAAACCTTGGCATACCGACCCATGATCCCTCTAAACTTCACACCATTTTCGCCGTCGTTGTTCTTCCTCGTCACGATCTGCATCTTCACCTGCTTCTCCTCCACCGAGAAATGTTCGCCGAGTGAGCTCTTGCCATTAACGCCTCCTCCTCCCGTTTCTCCTTGCGACCCTTCCTCTTCGCCTCTCATCAGCTGGTTCAAGCTCTTGTGATCAATCTCTTGTTCTTGTTCTTGTTTCCGTTCTTGTTCCTGTTCTCGATCTTGTTCTTGGTTGCTCCCATGATGAGGAGCTTCCTCAGGTGGCGGGCTTGCGATTGATATGTCTTGGTGGGTCTCCTTGAAGAGATTGTTCAACGGCTTCCGGGTTCTTCTCGACATGCTTAGATCGAACCGTTTCTTAGCCTGGTTCAGTTCGCTTCCCATGTCTGATCACAAGGTAATAACATTGAAGAGGCAAGCGTGGTCCATATAAGTTTGATCACACACATATATATATATATGTGTGTGTGTGTGTATGTATCATGTATGTATATATGTATATATGTGAAGAGTGGACAGTGCATGTTGTAGAAGGGTAATGAAAAGTGTAATTAAGAAAAGACAAATAGAAATAAAGAAGTGGAAAGCAAGTAAACAAAAGAATTAGGAGGGGAGGTTAGGTTCCAAGTAGAGAGGGTTGCAATGTCACAACAAGTAAAATAATGACACTTCACTAGAGTTTAAGCTCCTATACATATGAAATGTTACCAAATCACTTTTGTTATCCCTTCTCTCTTGTCTTGTTTCTTCATCACTTTGATTTTGACTCTCAACTGCTTTCTTCCAAACACTCTCATTCTCAAACATATACACACATATAATATATATACATATGTCATGAGATGTACTAATAATATTACAAAACTTAAAGATATTAATTTTTATTAAAACATATATATATATATATATAATACTAACTAAAATAATTTTATTTTCTTGTGGTTTGTACCATTTTCCAGTTCTCCAACTTCAAAGGAAACATATTAATTTAGTCATTAAGTTACTAGCTTTGTCTTTTGCATGTAGTTTATAAATCAGCGTGACGTTTAATGTTCTGACTGATAGGAGAGCTATCTATATGGCTTAACTTTTGCTAAAAATATTATTAACTGTATATGGCGTATTAGTTTTCAAAATCAAATTAATTAAATCCAATCAGATATTAAACGAAAATAATTATTTTCTTAAGAAAACATATTCCCAATAAAATCCAATAACACGCTACACTGCCTTTGGCGTGTGGATGTGATTATACACATAATAATATAAGATATCTATGAATGACGGATTAATTAGCTTCTAACGTTTTGTTGTGTACAAAATTAAGATGCAACAGTGAACAAATGTAACTTAGAATTCTATAGTCTAATAATTTTGATGAATGAATCCTATAACTATTTCAATATTAGGCACATCATTATAATGTCCCGGCGGTTAACATTTAATGTAAAATAACATGCATAATATATGCTTATATATATAGATAAACAAATACATGTTCCTATAACTAAATGCTTGCGGCCGCCCAAAAAAAAAAACGTTTCACTTGTGAATACCCAACTGGAACTCTTCCTCTTCTTCAGAGCCGTCCTCGTCATTGTCAATGTACTTGGACATCATGAAAGGCTCTGCATCACGGGATATCTTCGCGGTTTCTTTCTCTTCCCCTTCTCCGCCGCTTCCGGCGGCGGCGGCGGCTTGCCTGTTTGAGGCGGAGTATTGTTGAATCACAAGAACCGAAGCCTGCATAGTGAAGTTGGCCGAAGCGAGTGTATCCCCAATCGTGCCTAAATCAGGACTGCTGCTCCAATCGGCCAAACCCGAAGTCACCGGAGAATCTACGTTATACCCTCTTCCGACAATGTAGAGATCATAAGAGTGTTTGTCTTCCATTTCTCGTATCGTGGAGATCGTCTCTTGTCCGTCGTTGACGACTTTCTCGATGTAAGTCACTGAAGGGTCGTTCATGGTCTTGAAGTTGAACTCGTATATCAACTCGTCGTCCACTTGTTTCTCCCTCTCGTACGCAGCTGCCGTTTTCCCCGCCGAGACCAATGCGTCGTGGCCGGGGACGAATCTCACCACCGTGAGTTCGATCATGTGTTGTCCGACCATCCGTCGAGCATACGCTAAAGCCTCGCGGTCATCAGCTCCGCCCACGAAGAGCATCGCCACTTTTCTCTTGGCGGGCAGGCCGTGGAGTGACTCGGACCGGACCATGCCAATGCCACGGTCCACTAATATCCCGACCGAACAAGGCGCGTGGTTTAGAACATTTTGATTGATATCTGCGTGGGATGCGTTCCCTTCGCCCATCCGACCATCAGATGTCAAATGCTTGTGATATGGCAATATGATGAAGCAGACACGCTTGTCCTCTGCGAGCGCGCATATATCCTCATGCATGGTCGTGTAAGGGGAGACAGCTGTAATGGTCTGGACCACGACCGAGTCGTTGTGAACCTCTATAGCCTCAAAGGCTTCGGCGATCTGATCGGACTCAGCTCTGAATTTGTCGGAGAAGTTCCCCTTGGGCTTGCACTCGTCGTTCATGATGAGCAAAGAAGCAGTGGTGCGGCCAGTGAGCTCGACGAGGTGGACGGCAAAGACGTAAAGAGGAGATTGCTTCGTGGGGTTGGAGTCTCTCAAGAGGTTGGTGATTCCGAGGACGTTGGGAAGGATATGGACACATGCAAGAACATGAAACTCTGTATCTCCTTTGATTTTCTGTATCGTTCGGAGCTTGTAATGTATTACCTTCTTCTTGGCTCTGTACGTTAGGGCAAGAAACGGCTCCACCACTAGTGACATAACCAGAAACACGATCGTCATGTGAGTGTACATCGGACTGTCCAAAGCCTGCATGCATTAATTCATCGGTTTTCATGAATCGTTATACACACACATATGTATATAGCGGGAGCTGAAATGAATATTATACCTTGGTGTCACGGCCTGCGTTGAGGATGACGAGAGCCAAAGTGCCTTTGGTGTTCATTAGGGTTCCGAGGGCAAGAGCGTCTCTAAACGACGTTCGCATGAACAATAACGCAATGAACGTCGGGACGATCTTCAGCAAAAACGACGTGCAAACGACTAAGCCCATGATTGCGGGGTCGACATACCGAAACATAAATTCAAAATCGGCTCTTAGGCCGCAGATGATGTAGAAAAGTGGCATCAAGATTCCAGACAGGAAGTCATGGAGCTTCTCCTCGATCATGTTTCTGATGATTTGGTCGTGAGGGATGGAGAGTCCGAACACGAAGGCTCCGGTAATGGAGTGTACACCGCATGCGTCGGTGATGAGGCCGCAAAGGACGACGCCGCATAGGATGAACCAAACGTGCGTGTCGTCCACGTGGCCTCCTTTTACGGTCTTCGAGAATGCCCACGAGATTCCTGGTCGGATCACGAGTATGCACAAGAGGATGAACCCTCCAGTGGCGAGGAGGACAAACGGCATCATGTGGTTCCAAGTTCCTGTCCGAACGAAGTACCCATCATATATATATATTGTTCGGGATCCTTTTGAAGTACAGATCTTTAACTTAAAGGGTGCGAGAGAAACGGAACAAAACCACAAAAAACATCATTTTGAGGAGAATCGAACCAAGATCATAGAGAACGATACCTGATTTACTCAAAGCAGCAAACCCGAAAACCAGAAGAACCCAAGTGCATAAATCAGTGACAATGGCTGCAGACATTGCAGTTCTTCCGATATCTGAACGCAACAGTTTCAGGTCGGCGAGAACCCTGGCAAGATCGGGGAAGTTGGTGCAAGAAAGAGCTATGCACCAAAACACACAGCCTGCGAGAATCTTGTCAGAATCACCATTGCCTGGTAAGTAGTAGAGGGCGGCTCCGGCAGGTAAGGAGACTAAAAGGCCGACGGCTGAGATGACCAGCGACTTGAACTCGGTGAGTCTGACCATTCGGATGTCCATTCCGAGACCGAGAAGGAAAACGTTGTAGACAAGAGCCAAGTTCGCAAAGGTCTCGAGGATCATTGTGAATCTATATGGAAAGATATTTTCGATGACGAATTCTGTATTCCCGAGCAAGCTCGGACTGAACAAAAGACCGCACTGCCAGAAACAAGCATTCAACACTGTCAAAGTTTGCGAAATGATTCATTATATCTGTATTCCCGAACGTAATTTCCTTACTCTAGAATTTCAAATTCCTTATCTTATATGACAAGGAATAGATAAATCAAACCATATATGAAATATAATAAATTATTACAAATTAAAAGCTCACCATAATTTCTAACAAAAGCAAAGATATGAGCTGGAGTTCACATGATCACCATAAAAGGCTAACCACCATCATAAGGCGTGTGTGTATATATATATATGTGTGTATTATGTATTCCAACCTCTGGAAATGAATAGAGAATAACGCACCAGGATCTGAGCCACGAAAGGGGGCAGATACAGAGGTCGGGTCAAGTAGTAGAGGATTCGGTACGTGAGGTTAGCGACGAATATCTGCGTGATGAAGAAGGGAAGGGCGGAAGCGAGGGTGCCGCCCGATTCCAAGTTCTTCTGATCGTTCTTCTCGTACAAGTACTCTTGCGGGTAACACACGATTTTCCCGTAACGTGACTCATCCGTCACATAAGACATGTTCCGGTACGCCGCCGAGCCATTCATTTTTCCCACCCTCTCCGACGCCTTTTTCCTTGTCTCCCGGCGGCGGCTGAGTTCGATACGATTCGTACGGACGGTCGAGATGATGCTGTCGATCTGTTTCCTTGTGTTGTGTTTTTTTTCTTTCTGTGGTCAATTCATCCACACCAGGGAAGGAACAGCTGTTCTGGTGAGGGTTTTGTGGTTAATTATTCTAATTATACGCAATTAACTAAACAACTAATTACAGTTTTCCTTATCAACATTTTACTAATTATAGAGGATTCACATGCAATTCTTTTTGTCTGATTGGCTAGTAGTTGCGAGGTGCAGTTACATAATTCTAGTTGTTTAAAGAAGAACTCGAGGGGGGGGGGGGGTAATTTTAATTTCTTTTATT